CTTAAAAAAGAAAAAATCAAGTTGAGGCCAGGTGCAGTGGCACACGCCTGTGGTCCCAGCTACTCAAGAGGCTGAGGTGGGAGGATCGCTTGAGCCCAGGAGTTCAAGGCCAGCCTGGGAAACATAGCAAGACCTAGTCTCTAATTAAAAAGAAAAAAAAAAATCAAGGTAAATCATTTGAATTTTCTGGTAAATCCCATTCTAAAACATATTAGGACTTGATTTTTGTGGCATAAGTAACTTTGCATTTACTTGGGGATTTTTCTCAAAGATAAATAAGAGATGAGACAGCTCTGCCAAATCTGAGGCTGGAATACCAACAGTATATAAGGAGCAACATAAATTACCTTTTATAATTGAGCAGAGACTGGGAAACCAGACTCGTTTTGTCACAGTCCCAAAGAGACAAAAGTAAAATCTCAACTCTTTTTTTCCTTAGTGAGTTTGGGTAACTGTCCTGGGAAGAAACATTTCATTCAATTAAATAATAAGCCTTCATACCCCTGGGCTTTTGTTTATGTTAATCCTTTGTTTTGTTTTGTTCTGTCCTCCAGGCTGGAGTGCAGAAGTGCCATCTGGGCTCACTGCAACCTCTGCCTCCCAGGCTCAAGTGATTCTTCTGCCTCAGCCTCCAGAGTAGCTAGGACTACAAGTGTGTACCACCACAGTCAACTAATTTTTGTATTTTTAGTAGGTGGGGTTTTGCCATGTTGGCCAGGATCGTCTGCAGCTCCTGACCTCGTGATACACCCACCTCAGCCTCCCAAAGTGCTGGGATTATAGGCATGAGCCACCATACCCTGTCACTGCTTATGTGAATCCTAAAACCTAGAAGGTCCCCCCGTGCCAGAGGCATTAGAATCAGAGCGACTCCACCTTGAGTGAGGACTAGGAAATGAGGCTGGGGTTTACTGGGCTGCATTCCCATAATGTTAGGTATTTCTAGCCTCTAGATGTTTACAGTTAAGGGAACAGGTTGTTAATGTTTACTAAACAGACCCAGACTCAGGAGTGTTCCTGAGTCCCAATATCTTGAGAACAAAAGAATTTCCAATTTTGCTTTAAAGATAATAATATCTGCCGGGCTCGGTGGCTCAAGCCTGTAATCCCAGCACTTTTGAGAGGCCGAGGCGGGCAGATCATGAGGTCAGGAGTTCAAGACCATAATACAGTACAATGGTACCAGTAGATTAAAAAACAAAACAAAACAAAAAAAATGGAGTTCAAGACCAGCCTGGCCAACACAGTGAAACCCCATCTCTACTAAAAATACAAAAATTAGCCAGGCATGGTGGTACATGCTGGTAGTCCCAGCTACTTGGGAGACTGAGGCAGGAGAATTGCTTGAACCCAGGAGTCGGAGGTTGCAGTGAGCTGAGATAGTGCCATTGCACTCCAGCCTGGGCAACACAGCGAGACCCTGTCTCAAAATAGTACTACTATCAATTCTCACAAAATATAGTAATTAAGAAAATTAATCCTTTATCACAACTCCTTGTAGCAGAGCACATCATCCCATGATCTTTTTCATGCTGTATACAAACAAGTATTGTACCTAGGGTAGTTCCGTTCCTCCTTGTATTTTCAGCAATGCCCTACTCTGTCTACGGAGTAGCTGTTCTTTCACCACTTTACTTTCCTAATAAACTTGCTTTTGCCTTGCACTGTGGATTCACCCTGAATTTTTTCTTGCACAAGATCCAATAACCCTCTGTCGACATCTGGATCGGGACCCCTTCCCCATAACAATCTTAATTCTCTACCTTTCTATTTTTTGGCTTTTTATTTGTTTATTTTTGAGACAGGGTGTCACTCTGTCACTCAGGCTTGAGTGCAGTGGCATGAACACGGCTACTGCACCCTTGATCTCCTGGGCTTCAGTGATCCTCCCACCTCAGCCTCCCGAGTAACTGGGACTACAGGCACGTGCCACTGCACTCTGCCATCTGCCTGCTTCCTCCTCCCAAAGTACTGGGATTGCAGGTGTGCGCCGCTGCACCTGGCCTTCTCCACCTTTCTAAATCAGTCTTTACAGCCAGACAGATCATAGGCCACCACTCCAAGACGCCCTTCAAAATCTTTGCCAGCATGATCTTTATTTAGCCTTCATATTGCTCTGCCTTGTGTAGCAATGTGTTCTGCTCGACAACAATGTCTTAAATGATAAGCAAGATATTTACAATGGTTCAAAATTGAGCAATATAAAGCATTTCCAGTGTACTGTCTTGTTCCCACTCTTGTCCCCCATCTCACAATCACTTCTGTCAGTTTCCTGTGTCTTTTCCAGAGTTTCTTCTTGTAAGCATAAATATAAATCTATTATTTTACCATCTCTGTTTTCTTACACAGAAGGTAACCTGATATACATATAATTGTATTCCTTGCTCTTTTCTTTTTTTTGCCACTGTACCAGTGCATCCTTGCTCTTTTCATTTTTTTTTTTTTTTTTTTTTTTTGAGATGGAATTTCACTCTTTTTGCCCCGGTTGGAGTACAATGGTGCAATCTCACCTCACTGCTATCTCCGCTTCCCGGGTTCAAGTTATTCTTCTGTCTCAGCCACCCCAGTAGCTGGGATTACAGGTTCGCACTACCACACCCTGGATAATTTTTGTATTTGTAGTAAAAACGGGGTTTCATCGTGTTGGCCAGGCTGGTCTCGAACTCCTGACCTCAGGTGATCCGCCTGCCTTGGCCTCCCAAAGTACTGGGATTACAGGCGTGAGCGAGCATGCCCAGTCACCTTGCTCTTTTCATTTTAACTCATCAACACATCTTAGGAATCTTTCCATGTAGATTTAGAAAGAAATTCCTTATTCTGTTTCTAAAGAGTTTTCTTTGTTTGCTTATTTTTGTTTTTGTGAGATGGAGTCTCACTCTGTTGCCCAGGCTGGAGTGCAATGGTACGATCTTGGCTCACTCTAACCTCACCTCCCGCGTTCAAGTGATTCTTCTACCTAAACCTCCCAAGTAGCTGGGATTACAGGCTCACACCACCACGCCTGGCTAATTTTTGTATTTTTAGTAGAGACAGTTTCACCATGTTGGCCAGGCTGGTCTTGAACTCCTGACCTCAGGTGATCCACCTGCCTTGGCCTCCCAAAGTGTTGGTATTACAGGCATGAGCCATCGCACCTGGCTAAAGGGTTTTAAAATTTAAAGAAACTTATTACAAGTTGTCTCCTAATATCTTTAACCAGTTCTGCTAATGACGCACATTTGCACTGTTTGCAATCTGTTGCTACATTGATGATGCCTTGTAGACATCTGTCAATTGGCATTGTGCATGTACTTATCTGGATAAATTTCCAAAACAGGAGGGTTGGGTCAGATTATATAATTCTGTAACATTGACGGAGAGAACCAAATTGTTTTCCACAGGAGCTCTACCTGTTTACACTCCCAGAAAAAAATACAAAAGAAACCTGTTTCTCCACAGCCTTGCCAAAAGAAAGGAAAAGAGGGAGCAAAGATTTAAGAAGTGGTGGCTCAGCTTCAAAAGCAAAAAGAGGCAGGGCTCGGTGGCTGATGCCTGTAATCCCAGCACTTTGGGAGACAGAGTAGGGAGGATCACTTGAACCCAGGAGTTCAAGACCAGCCTGGGCAATATGGCAAGACCCTGTCTCTACAAAAAATTGACCTGGCATGATGGCACACACCTGTAGTCCCAGCTACACAGGAGGCCAAGGTGGGAGGATCACTTGAGCCTGGGAGGACAAGGCTGCAGTGAGCCATGTTTGAGCCATTGCATTCCAGCCTGGATGATAAAGTGAGACCCTGTCTCAAAAAAAAAATAATAAATAAATTAAAAAGGAAGACAGAAAAGAAAAAGAAAAAGAGGACAACTAGGCCGGGCATGGTGGCTCATGCACTATAATCCCAGCACTTTGGGAGGCTAAGGTGGGTAGATCACAAGGTCAGGGGTTCAACACCAGCCTGGCCAACACAGGGAAATCCCGTCTCTACTAAAAATATAAAAATTAGCCGGGTGTGGTGGTTTACGTCTGTAATCCCAGCACTTTGGGAGGCCAATGGGGTAGGGTGGATCAACTGAGGACAGGAGTTCGAGACCAGCCTGACCAACATGGTGAAAGCCCATCCCTATTAAAAATACAAAAAATTAGGCAGGTGTGGTGGCGTGTGCCTGTAATCCCAGCTACTAGGAAGGCTGAGGCAGGACAATCACTTGAATCTGGGAGACAGAGGTTGCAGTAATCTGAGGTCACACCATTGCACGCCAGCCTGGGTGGCAGAGCAAAATTTGTCTAAAAATAAATAAATGAAAAAAAATACAAAAATTAGCTGGGTGTGGTGGCACACACCTGTAGTCCCAGCTACTTGGGAGGCCATAGCAGGAGAATCCCTTGAACTCAGGAGGCAAAGGTTGCAGTGAGCTGAGACCACGCCATTGCACTCTAGCCTGGATGACAGAGCAAGATTGAGTCTCAAATAAAATAAAATAAAATAAAACAAAATAGGAGGACAGCTAGATGAAGACTGGAAAGAGCACACACAGTGTTACAGCTGGCATCTTCCCTGAGGTTCAACCAGCCTTTGCAAGAGTTGCCTGGAACTTCTGTCAGCACCAACTGACCATGCGTAACACAGAACTCGCTGAAACCAGCCCCTGGTATTGGTTTTTCATTTCCTACCAATGAAATCACCTTTTTCTCACATTTAAAACCTTGTAGGAGAGGGTGGGGGCAGGTAGACTTTCAGTTTTTACTTTACAAACTCGAGATGTGTATGCTTTATTTTATTACAGGAAGCATATATTTCTTTTATAATTTAAAACCCATAATAATATACTGCAAAAACTTGAAAGCCTAGTCATTTTTCTTTTAGTTTTTATTTATCCATTCAAACACTTTCTATTGTGTTAGCTGTTTGTTTTCATTTATTTATTTTTTTTTTTCTGACAGGTGCCTGGGAGAATAGTCTCTAAATAACATAGCTTTATAGCGAAGTTATTTTTAAAACCATTAATTTCACTTTTTTTTTTTTTGAGAGATAGTTTCTCACTCTGTCACCCAAGCTGAGTGCAGTGGGAAGATCATAGCTCACTGTACCCTTCAACTCCTAGGCTCGAGTGGTCCTCCTGCATTAGCCTCCTGAGTGGCTGGGACTACAGAAGCACACCACCACACCCACCTAATTATTATTTTTTTTTTTTAGAGACATGTGTCTCACTATGCTGTCCAAGCTGGTCTTGAACTCCTGGCTTCAAGCAACTCTCCCACCTCTGCCTCCCAAAATGCTGAGATTACAGGCTAATTTCACTTCTTTTTTTTTTTTTTTTTTTTTTTTGAGATGGAGCATTGCTCTGTAGCCCAGGCTGAAGTGTAGTGGCGTGGTCTAGGCTCACTGCAACCTCCACCTCCTGAGTTCAAGCAGTTCTTCTGCCCCAGCTTCCTGAGTAGCTGGGACTACAGGTGCACACCATCATACCTGGCTAATTTTTGTGTTTTTCATAGAGACGGGGTTTTACCCTATTAGACAGGCTGGTCTCTAACTCCTGACCTTATGATTCACCCTCCTCAGCCTCCCAAAGTGCTGTGATTACAGGCGTGAGCCACCACACCTAGACTTCACTTGTTTATAAATTACTCCTAACCACCACCCTCTGCCGCCACTCTCATACCCATTGGCAGTTTTTAAACTGAAAAGAAACTGAAATGTTTACATAATCATGATTGGAGCTGAGATACTATTTAAGGGGAATTGATATAGCTAGGATTTGTGACAGTTGTGTGATATTTTTAGTGTTGTCATGCACTTTTCAATTAACTGAGGTCTCTTTTATGATAAAAATCCATATTTATATTTATATCATATAATTTGGAGCAAAACTGTACTACTTTAAATTATGGAAGCTAGCTCATGCCTGTAATCTCAGCACTTTGGGAGGCTGAGGCAGGTGGATCACCTGAGGTCAGGAGTTCAAGGCCAGCCTGGCCAATATGGTGAAACCCTGTCTTAAAAAAAAAAAAAAAAATTATGGAAGCTTATAACTGTCATAGCTGTTTTTAGAATCACATTCTCTGGTCCTACATATAATCCATTTGTTTCCAAGTCCTTATTGAAGCATTCCTCCTATGGGAAGCTGTCATCAACTTTATCATGTTTGGCTCCACTTTGGGATTTCCAGGAATTTAATATAATAAAAGAGAGGCGGCCGGGCGCGGTGGCTCAAGCCTGTAATCCCAGCACTTTGGGAGGCCGAGGCGGGTGGATCACGAGGTCAAGAGATCGAGACCATCCTGGTCAGCACGGTGAAACCCCGTCTCTACTAAAAATGCAAAAAATTAGCTGGGCATGGTGGCGCGTGCCTGTAATCCCAGCTGCTCAGGAGGCTGAGGCAGGAGAATTGCCTGAACCCAGGAGGCAGAGGTTGCGGTGAGCCGAGATCGCGCCATTGCACTCCAGCCTGGATAACAAGAGCGAAACTCCGTCCCAAAAAAAAAAAAAAAAAATAATAATAATAATAATAAAAGAGAGGGGCCATCTCCTTGTGCCCTTGACTTTTACACAGATACAGACACTATACAGAAATGCACCCGAACCATCTTTCCTACATGGCATCAGGACAATGGGCCAGGTAACAAAGGAACCTTTTGAGCTATCGCGTGGCGGTGCTGCCTGCCAGCCCACAGCTCAGGTCCATCTGCCACCAGCTCTGTCAAAGTACAGCATTTACTCAATGACATTCATATTGGACTGCATTTAGCCTGTCACTATTTCAAAATTAGTGAAATATGGAGAAAATATAAGTGCAAACACTAGTAAAAGGGCGTGTTGTTCTCATAGACGTAAAACAATTGAGACAAAGAAGGGAATCATTAGGTGTGGGGAAGGGAGTGAATCTTCAGCCTCAATAATGACAACTTATACTGAGACGTTGCTACCTGTCACTCACCATTGTTACTACTTCATACAATTTAATTCGTATTCTTACAATAATACTATGTGAGAAATAAATGAAGGTACTATTAATATCTTTGTTTTTGCAGATAAACAATTCATCATTTACAGAGGGCAATAGCCTGACCCAAATCTTACAGATGCCTATTGGACTTTAGGCGGTCAACTTTGCTCAGCTAGAATAGAGAGGCTCGGATTTTAAAAACATCTACTACCTGCTGGAGCTATAGCTTAAGACTATGTCTAAGAGACAGCACACCATCAGGAATTTTATACTACATTTTAGATCTCTGAAAATAGAAACCTGTGCTTAAAGCACACAGATTTGTTTTTGAATTTTATACATGTGACATTGGCGTGCATTTTGTGAACGTGTTATATATGAAAGCAAAAATCTCTTGGATTACTGTATGTTTTGGATGTACGTGTAAAGATGTGAATTCTATGAGGACAGGGAACTTCTCTTCTACTTCTCCAGCACCTACAACAGTGCTCAGTAAAGGTTTGTTGTGGTGCTGAGTGAAAACAGAAGTGAGTTAGAAACTGTGCTGCTATCATCCTGAACACCAAGAAACACTCTATTCAATCTCCCCAAGTGTTTTTAATAATATAGTGAAAAACAAGTCATCTGGCTTAGCGTGGTGACACACAACTGTAATTACAGCACTTTGGGAGCCCAATGAGGGAGGGTCGCTTGAGCCCACGTGTTCGAGACCAGCCTGAGCAACATAGCAAGACCCAGTCTCTACAAAAAAAAAAAAAAAAAAATTAGCCAGCCATGTTGCCGATGCTTGTAGTTCCGGCTATTTGAGACGTAGAGCGCTGCTTGTAGTTCCAGCTATTTGAGACGTAGAGGTGCTTGAGATATGTGTTCACACCACTGGATTCTAGCCTGGGTGACAGACTGAGACCCTGTGTCCAACAAAAAAAAAAAAGAAAAAAGAAAAACATGTCATCTTAAATACACACACACACATGCATTTATGTGTTTACACAATATTTAAAGGCATGCACTCAAAAACCCATTTATAAGTACATGACAATAAAGGAAAAATGATGTCACATCTCAAGCATGTAAACACTTTACAGGCGTAATGATGATAAAGGTGAAAAGAAAATGATCATTACAAAGGCCATTTTTTTTTCTGTTGAGGAGGTTAATGGAATTACCCTCCTGGCCTCACTAAGTGTAAAAATCAAGGCAGCAAACAGGCACAGTCAACAAACCGCTGCATGACCTCAATTTGGAGTGTCTACCCTGTCTTCCCTCCCCATTAGCCATCTCTTCTTAATGGGGCAGTAGGTTTTAGGACACAACTCCTCTCATAGCATTTGCTTGGAATGCGACTGGGCAGGCATCTGGTCCCAGCAGAGCCTTCCCTGTCAGTGACCTATGACCTGGGTGGCGTGGTTTAAAAGGTTGAGCTGGGTGGGTCAGATTCTCTCTCTGTTTTTCTCACCCTCGCTTTTTCTCTACGGAACTTGAATCAAAAGGCCTAGAGGGCAGCTTCCAGTGAGCTGTGGGCAACATTGCCGAAAGGTTGTTGCGGGCCCCAAGTCAGGATCAAGACGGGCTACAGGCTGAAATTTGCCAGCTGAAATTAAGGGAAGAGGAACAACTGTGAGTTCGTGGGAGAAGCTTCAAGAGACAGAGAAGAAAAGAACATCAATCCATGCAGAGATGCACACCCCTGCCCTCTTTTGTTTTCTGTTTTTCCTGGGCTCCTGGGCAAGTATACTTTAAAAATTTTCTTCTGGCTCGGCAAAGTGGCTCATGCCTGTAATCCCAGCACATTGGGAGGCCGAAAGGTGGATGGAGTTTGAGACCAGCCTGGCCAATATGGCAAAAACCCGTCTGTACTAAAAATTCCAAAATTAGCCAGGTATAGTAGTGCACACCTATACTCCCAGCTACCCAAAGGCTGAGGAGCGAGAATTGCTTGAACCCAGGAGACAGAGGTTGCAGTGAGCCAAGATTGTGCTATTGCACTCCAGCCTGGGTGATAGAGTGAGACTCAAAAAAAAATAAAAAAAAATAAAAAATAAAACAAATTTAAAAAAAAAGGCACAGGAAGAAAAAAAAAATAAAAGACAAAAAAAAAAGAAAGAAAGAAAAAAGGTGGGCACAGTGGCTCATGCCTGTAATCACAACACTTTGGGAGGGGCAGTGGGCAGATCACTGGAGGTCAGGAGTTTGAGACCAATCTGGTCAACATGATGAAACTCTGTCTCGACTGAAAATACAAAACTTAGCCAGACGTGGTGGTGCACACCTGTAATCCCAGCTACTCATGAGGCTGAGGCAGGAGAATCGCTTGAACCTGGGAGGTGGAGGTTGTAGTGAACCGAGATCGTGCGATTGCATTTCAGCTTGGGTGACTGAGTAAGACTCTGTCTCAAAAAAAAAAAAAATTTATATATATATATATACATATATATATATATATTTTTTTTTTTTTCCCTTAAAGTAACCCATGTGCTCTTCTGATCCTTGTTACTAAAAGAGACTAAACTGGAGCAACAGATAACAGGAGAAATAGTGTATTTGGCCAGGTGTGGTCACTCACCTGTAATTCCAGCACTTTGAGAGGCTGAGGCAAGAGGATCACTTGAGCCCAGGAGTTTGAGACCAACCTGGGCAACATAGTGAGACCTCATTTCTACAAAAAATACAAATAAAAATAGCTGAGTGTACTAGTATGTGTCTATAGCCCTGGTTACTTGGGAGGCTGAGGCAGGAGGACAGCTTGAGGCCAGGAGTTTATAAAGTGGCAATGAGCTGTTATAATGCCATCATACTCCAGCCTGGGCAACAGAGCATGATGTCACCTCAAAATAGGTAAATAAATAAATAAATAACTCTCTCCAATGGAGGATATTAACTTTAAAAAAAAAGACAGGAGAACCGTGTAAGTACAGCAGTCCAACACCATGAAGGATAGTGGCAAATAGTCATTTCATTCAATAGTCCCCAAGGACCTCAGTTTGTGCAATCCTGTGCAATAATCAATATTTATAGTATAAAATAATCGATATTAAGACCTTGAGTTTTAAAGCAAAAGCTGCTTGACATGCAGTGTATTTTCAGAAGTCAATGAAATGTGTAGCTTCATTCAGAGAAACACTTTCCTTAAAGTTAAAAAAAAGTTTTGGTGTTTAAAAATGGCAGGATTTGGCTGGGTGCAGTGGTTCATTTCTATAATTCCAGCACTTTGGGAAGCTGAGGCCAGAGGATTGCTTTAGCCCAGGAGTTCAAGACAAGCCTGGGCAACATGGCGAGACTCTGTCTCTACAAAAAATAAAAAAAAATATTAGCTGAGCTTTAGGTAGTGTGTGCCTAGGGTCTCAACTACCTGGGGGCTGAGGCAGGAGAATCAGTTGAGCCTATCGGGGTGGGGGATGCAGTGTCCATGTTTGTGCCACTGCACTCCAGCCTGGGAGACAGAGTGAGATGCTGTATCCAAAAAAAAAAAAAAGAAAGAAATGGAAAAGAAGTTTGCAGTAAGCTGTTGCCCAGGCTGGAGTGCAATGGCACGATCTTCTCAGCTCACTGCAACCTCCACCTCCTGAGTTCAAGCGATTCTCTTGCCTCAGCCTCCCAAGTAGCTGGGACTACAAGCGTGCACCACCACGCCTAGCTAATTTGTTAATTTTTAGTAGAGACAGGGTTTCACCATGTTAGGCAGGATGGTCTCGATCTCCCCACCTCATGATCTGCCCACCTTGGCCTCCCAAAGTGGTGGAATTACAGGCATGAGCCACCACACCCAGCGTATCTTTTACATTTTGAAATGCACATATTTATTGATCCATGCCTTGCCTTGTTACAGCAAAGAGCTGAGAAGACTTAGAAGAATACACAAAATCCGGCCGGGCTCTGGCTCAAGCCTGTAATCCCAGCACTTTGGGAGGCCAAGGTGGGTGGATCAAGAGGTCAGGAGTTCAAGACCAGCCTGGCCAACATGGAGAAACCCCATCTCTTCTAAAAACACAAAAATTAGCCAGGCACAGTAGCATACTCCTGTAATCCCAGTTACCTGGGAGGCTGAGGCAGGAGAATCACTTGAACCTGGGAAGTGGAGGTTGCATTGAGCTGAGATCGTACTACTGCACTCCAGCCTGGGCGACACAGTATACAACCTCTCCAAAAAAAAAAAAAAAAAAAAAAAACAATATACAGAATCCAACAGGAAAGTAAAAACTGACAGTAGGGAAAAGAAAGAACACCAGGGTGTGGACAGGAGATCTGGTTATCTACAAAGCTCATTTCCATGGACTTCCTCATTCCCTGTTAGATTATGGACCACCATAACTAGTGTTACTCATTATTTCATCTCCACAGTTTTTAATTTGAAGAAAGTTCAAGGTTTATCTTCTGAATGTAAAAACCAAATTGAAACTGGAAGATAAAAAAGAAAACATTGATTTAAATCAGAGAAAAATAATAAATCTACATAAACATGCTTTTAATAAGCTGCTAATTTAAGCATATGTTTAAATAATTTCTATTAATTTACTTCAGTAAAATAATTGTCACAGCAAGATATCTTTTTTTTTTTTTTTTTTTTTTTTTTTTTTTTTTATACAGAGTCTCCCTTTGTCAACACAGGCTGGAGTGCAATGGCATTATCTTGGTTCACTGCAACCTCTGCCTGCTGAGGTCAAGTGATTCTACTGCCTCAGCCTCCTGTAGTTGGGATTACAGGCCCCAGCCACCACACCTGTTTAATTTTTTGTATTTTTAGTAGAGATGGGGTTTTACCATGTTGGCCAGGCTGGTCTCGAATTCCTGACCTCAGGTGATCCGCATGCCTTGACCTCCAAAAGTGCTGGATTACAGGCCTGGCCTTAATTTTACCTTAATCAGAAGTAGCATCATATTACATTATACAACTGGTGAAATTCTCTTCAATATCCTTTTTAAAAACCAATACCAAGGTATTAGGGGGGAAAAGTGTTTAGAGTTAAATTCACTATACAAACGTAATTTTTATATTCCATAAAAAAGCATTCTTTTTTCTGGATGCTCTGGTTTGGAAAGGCTCAGGGGATTTTAATAAGTGTGTTCCTATTCATTTGGGGCCTTCATTAGGGACAATTTCTTCTGATGGATATTTCTATTACAGAATCACTGCTTAAAGGATAATAGTGTAGGCTTCAGGGCCAGGCAAATGTATGTATTTAATGCAAGATAGCTGAGTAACAGCTTGGGCAAATTACTTTAAGTCTTCTCAAGTTAGTTTCTTAACTGCCAATGGAGCTAGCATGGTCGGATGGAAGATCAAATAAGTGATTGCACATTAAGCACTTTGCTTAGTAGCTAATACCTATTGAACCTAATAGATGACACAGGTTATGATAGAAACAGTGATTGCAGAGGACATCACACTGATCTGATACAAATCTCTCTTTAACAGCATCTTGTTAAAGGTTTCTAATTTTCCAGTTAACAAATTTTCTTTTTTTTTTTTGAAACAGAGTCTCCCTCTGTCAACCAGGCTGGAGTGCGGTGGTGCAATCTTGGTTCACTACAACCCCCGCCTCCTGGGTTCAAGCAATTCTCCTGCCTCAGCCTCCTAAGAAGCTGAGACTGCAGGTGCCCACCACCACACCCAGCTAATTTTTGTATTTTAGAGATGGGGTTTCATCAGGTTGCCAGGCTGGTCTCAAACTCTGGATCTTCCGTGATCCACCTGCCTCGGCCTCTAAAAGTACTGGGATTACAGGCATGAGCCACCGTGCCCAGCCAATTATTTTTAACTTTATTGTTAAGAGTGCATTCTGAAGGATTTTTTATGGTATTGACAGAGAAATTAGTTTCATTGCTTGATATTATTTTCTTGTTATTTTCCAAAATATATAAACGATGATTTATTTCACTGCTAGATTTATAAAGAAATTGTACTTTTCATTCATGTTGATTTTTTTTATTTGTTCCTTTTCATTCAGCCCCAGAAAAAATGCAATTAATCATGCCAAGGTATGTACAAAGTCTCATCTGACTAGCTCCATCATGTGTCTAGAATTAGTTTTACAGTTTTAAAAGTTGCTTCCACTTCACTGCTACTATGGTCTTGAATAAGAATACATATCTGGCTGGGCTCAGTGACTCAAACTTATAATCCCAGCACTTTGGGTGGCTGAGGATAGGCAGATAATTTGAGGTCAGGACTTTGAGACCAGCATGGCCAACATGGCGAATTCTTTTTTTTTTTTTTTTTTTTTAAATATTTATATACTTTATTTTTATTTTTATTTTTTTATTTTTTGAGACGGAGTTTCGCTCTTGTTGCCCAGGCTGGAGTGCAATGGCATGATCTTGGCTCACCGCAACCTCCACCTCCTGGGTTCAGGCAATTCTCCTGCCTCAGCCTCCTGAGTAGCTGGGATTACAGGCACGCGCCACCATGCCCAGCTGATTTTTTGTATTTTTTTAGTAGAGACGGGGTTTCACCATGTTGACCAGGATGGTCTCGATCTCTTGACCTCGTGATCCACCCGCCTCAGCCTCCCAAAGTGCTGGGATTACAGGCGTGAGCCACCGCACCCGGCCCAAAATTCTTGTCTCTACTAAAAATACAGAAATTAGCCAGGAGTGATGGTGGGTGCCCGTAATCCCAGCAACCAGGGAGGCTGAGGCAGGAGAATCACTTGAACCTGGGAGGCAGAGGTTGCAGTGAGCCAAGATCATTTCATTGCACTCCAGTCTAGGTGACAGAGCGAGACTTTATCTCAAAAAAATAAGGAAAGAAAGAAAAAATATCTGGCAATATAGCACTGAATCCTTTGAAAAACAGATGCAAATCAGAATTGGGAAAATGTTCATTTTAAAAGGTAAGGTTTTTTAAAAATGTAATTTGGCCAGAAATCCAGAGTAACCATATAATTTATTATTCAAACTAGGCCTTTTTGGGAATGAAAGAGGGGTACAATTAGTAAGTTCATTGGGATAAAGGCATAAACCAAGACTCTCCAAGGGATATCAGGTTGTAAGTACATAAGAGGCCATTCTAGACCAAACTGACAACGTACCTCCTTCCCTAAGTTGAGGATGGACTGGGAACAGGCTTGAAGCGATTCTTCATGAAATTATAAGCTGTATCACATGACACACATGACATTCTACACTCAAACTGTGAATTACTGGGTTCTGTTTTGAGAATCCAAGCTGAACCTCTGACCTTAAAGCATCATGCTCATTTCTTATCTATATGCCTCAAGAAAAACACAACAGAAACAAAAGCCAAGAGAAGTATAACTAATATAATCAAGAGCTGTGGCTCTGAATATTTTGTCTCTTAAGGCATCTTTGAGAATCTGATGAAAGCTCTTAACTCTCCTTGCAGAAAAGAGCACACACAAACAGCCCCAATCCTTGGCACACAATTCAGGAGCCATGGTATATCCAATCTCATCCAGGTTTCCAGCTCTGAATCTCTGACCTAGAACACATGAGATGGATGAAGGGAAAAAGGAATCCACGTTTACTGACCATCTTTACACACATTTCCTCTTATGCTCACATCAATCTATTTTATAAAAAGGAGAACTGAAGCTAAGAGAAACTAAGATCTCACACCTAGTTAAGTAGAAACGGCAGACTTCAAATCAAGTCTATGTGCCACCAAATCTCATCAGATATAAAGCACGGCTTTTACATATATATTTTTTCATGACTTTATAATAATATCATATATGTAATACTCATATATAAAATCATATATAAAACCTCATATATTATAAAAAATGAACACAAGCATACATCTTCATCAAAGTCCTGCTTACTACAGTTGGGTGAACCTCTTGAAACTTCAAAGACATTACAGATTATTAGGGCAATAAAAGTAAACACTAAAAAATTATTTAAAGAATAACCAGAGGCCAGGCATGGTGACTCATTCCTATAATCCCAGCATTTTGGGAGGCTGAGGTGGGCAGATCACAAGGTCAGGAGATTGTGGCCAACATAGTGAAACCCCGTCTCTACTAAAAATACAAAAATTAGCTGGGTGTGGTGGCAAGCACCTGTAGTCCCAGCTACTTGGGAGGCTGAGGTGGAAGGATCACTTGAACCCGGGAGGCAGAGGTTGCAGTGAGCTGAGACTGCGCCACTGCACTCCAGCCTAGCAACAGAGCAAGACTCTGTCTCAAAAAAAAAAAAAAAAAAAAAAGGATAACCAGAAATGATACAATGGAATAACAGTCTCAAATTCTCAAATAGCTTTTGATAAACCCAAGACAAATCGTCAAGAAATTATTAAGACATTTTCAGTGTTTCAGTAGCCTGTATCACATGACCACACATGACATTCCATAGTCTACTGATTTTCAGTGTTTGATTGTATCCCTGGGCTAAACTTGGGAAATAAACTGTGCCTTTGTCTGTATATCTAAAAGCCCATGTCTGACTACTAATCAGCGTTGACCGTGAATGGGCTGGTGACTGAGGTAGTGTTTCTTGTGTTACTGGTAAGCCAACATTTCCATCTTGGTAACCTCTGTTCATTCATTCCTAAAATTCCTGATAGGGTTTGTTGTTGTTGTTGTTGTTGTTGTTGTTGTTGTTGTTGTTTTGAGACAAGGCTTCACTCTGTTGCCCAGGCTGGAGTGCAGTGGCATGATCAAATTCCTGGCCTCACACAGTCTTCCTGCTTCAGCCTCCCAAGTAGCTGGGACTACAGGCATGTACTACAACGCCCAGTTAATTTTTACTATTATAATTTTTTGATAGTGACAGAGTCTTGCTTTGATGCCCAGGTTGTTCTTAAGTGCCTGGCTTCAAGCGATTTTCCCATCTTGGCCCCCTAAAGCACTAGCACTGTAGGCATGAGCCACTGAGCTTGGCTGACCTAGTATTATTTTGCAGCTGATATTCCACTATGAGATATGGAGTCAGACTTACCTGAGAATTTATCATGTCTATATGTACCTAGACAATGCCTAGTACAGATGTCATGCTGTTTTCTTTCCAATTCATACTATATAACTATGCCAGATGAATTTCCTACCCTAAACTATAGCTCCAAATATGGCAGTTCCTTGCACAAAACTACTGTTGCATTTCATCATACTTGCTTCTTTCCTGTAATTATTTATTCTTTTAAAAAATGTATTGTTTGTTTTCCTTTCTCCATTCTGAAACTGTAAGCTCAATGAGGACAGGGGCCAGTTGTAACTCTAGTGTTTAGATGTGCTGTCTTATAATGCACATTGAATTATATTGTTGCTAAACTATGTAAATTGATTACTACAAGAATTTGGACAATATGATTTTTTTTTCAACTTTTAAAAGTGAGATATAATGAACATACCATAAGATCCACCCATTTAAAAAGCAGAACACAGCGGTTTTTAGTATATTCACAACTTGTACAATCATCACCACTATTTCCAGAATATTTTCATCACTTCAATAGGAAAATGCATACATATTAGCAATTACTTCCATTTCCCCTCTCCCCCAGTCCCTAGCAAACCATGAATCTACTTTCTGTCTCTATAGATTTCCCTATCCTCAACTTTCATATAAATGGAATTATACGATATGTGGTCTTTTGTTCCTGGCTTCTTTCACTTAACATGATATTTTTAAGATTCATCCATGTTGTAACATTTTGTTTACCCTTTTGAGGAAAGATAATGGTTAATATCCTTCTAATGCTATGCTCAGATAAGCAAGTGAAGAGCTACAACCAAATTTACTTTTTCTTTTCTTTCTTTTTTTTGGTGGGGGGAGGCGGACAAAGTCTAGGTCTGTTGCCCAGGCTGGAATGCAGTGGCATGATCTCGGCTTACTGCAACCTCCGCATCCCGGGTTCAAGCGACTCTCGTGACTCAGCCTCCCCAGTAGCTGGGATTACAGGCATGCACAACCATACCGGGCTAATTTTTGTATTTTTAGTACAGACCGGGTTTCATTCACCATGTTGGCCATGCTGGTCTGAAACTCCTGACCTCAGCTGATCCACCTACCTCAGCCTCCCAAAGTGCTGGGATTATAGGTGTGAGCCACAGCGTCCTGCCTCAACCAAATTTCAAAAAGTATCATAATATCATTATGCTTCATAGTTTCTCTATGCCCTGAAGTTTACCAATTTTATCTTCTACAGATCCCAGGAAGGCAGCCAGTTAAGACCCACCAAATTTACTTCCTCAGCCTCCGGAACAATAAAATCAAACTCCCTACCTTGATTTTGAGATTCTGCTTCCGCCCAACCCCCACCCCAATCTTCTCGCAAATTCGACACTCTGGAATAATGCATTTTTACAGTTCTGATTGTTTTCAGCAGATGTGCTGGCTGAGGTTGGATGGGATTTCTTCCCACCTATCTCTCCTCTCTCCTTCCCTCTGCCCACTGCACGTGCAACAAATTTTCAGTCATCAAAACAAGCAAAAAAAGAAAAGAGAAAGGAAAAAGAGAGAAAAGAAAAACAGAAAAAAGAAAAAGCAGTCAGAAGGCTTCCTTTGTTTTCCAAGGAAATCCAGGTAAAAGGAGGGGTAGGAAAACGATATTTTTGACTTTGCTCACAATCCAGACGTGGGAAAGAAAAGGATTTCCTTTGGGCTGCTGCCACGACTCTGATCTTTTATGCTGATAACAGATTTCCTTCAAAAAAAAAAAAAAAGTTCTGGGAAAATCATGCCAGTTCAACTTGGAAGCGAAACCCACCCTCATGTTCGTCTTAAAACACAGCGAAGTGAAAGGTTTGCTCCTCCTTCACGAGGGTTTTCTTCTTCACAGTTCGCGTCTCGCCACCAGGAGCGAGCCTGGGTCCGCAGCGCTCTTTGGAGGCTGGCGGGGGAGGAGGACTACAGGATCCAGAGGTCTTTGGAAACTCCAGCAGCTCCAAGCTTGTTGGCTACTACGGTTTCCCTGAGGAGTGACGCTGCGAAAACAAACCCTGATTGGTCAGGCCTGAGCTAAGTTCTCCATTTATGGACAGATTGCCCGGCCCGAGCCGAGACTCAGCCAGAGGAGTACGGATTAAGTGGCCGAAGAAAGAGGAGCGAGGCAGTGGAGCGAGGCGGAGCCGCAGAGCGCATCGGACTCACCTGGGCGCGCGGCGAGCGGCGGGTCCCAGCGGACTCCTGCCTTCCGCAGCATGCCCCCCGCCTGCTAAGTCGCCGCGGTCTCGCCCTCACCTAGCGCCGCGGATCCCGCCTGGATGGAGTCCCCTCTGGGTTCCCATTGGCTCCTGTGAGTGCTTGGGTGTCGGGAGACTGCTTTTGGCGAGGGGAAGCAACTTTTGAAGTTCGCCCAGGAGACTGCGTTCCAGCCCCACCTCCCCGGCAGCGGGACCTGGCAGAGGCGCGACCGCGGCGCGAGTCACCATGGTGAGTTGGCCGCGCAGCGTCCCAGGACGCCGGACCCGGGGACCGGGCAGGAAGCCCCGGCGCGGGGGCACCCACCTTGGGCACGCTGCCCGGGGCACGGGTGGAGAAGGTGGACGCGGGAGCCGGCACGTCGCGAGCTCTGATTTCCTGTCTCTTTCTGTAAACCCGGGCCGGGGGACAGCTAGCGAGGCGCGGAGGAAAACTTTATTCCAGGTCGCTCTCTGCGTAGCGAAACTTTCTGTGGCCGGGTTGCTATGGCTGCCAGCTGTCGGAAGCCAGGGTGTGGGCGCATTGGCTGCGGGGGGCACGGCGCGGGAGGGGGTCCCCTCCTCCTGCTGGGACGCGAGGGGCACCACCGGCAGCGGAGGTCCTCCGGCACTCGCGCGGCAGTAGCTGGTGGCGCCCCCTGCCCTCCCCGCAGCCGTGCCCGCCCCGCCTCGCTTCGCCTCGCCCCGCCTCGCCTGCCGCGGGCACCCTCGCGGCGACTCCCTCTCCTCCCTGCCGCCGCTCCGCCGCCCGGCAGCGCCCGCAGCTGTCCCGCCTGGCAGCGGCACACGGGCGGGGGCGGTCCCCGGCCTGCCCTGGCGAGGGGCGGTGCAGGCCGCACAAAGGCAGGCGGGGACGCCAGGTAGGATGAACACCTGGCGGCGGGCGGGCTGTCGAGAGCCCGGGCGACCCGGGCGTGGGCGGCGGCCACTCCGACCCGGACCTGTGCCGGGCACCGGCCCCGAGGGTCTCCGCGCCCCGGACGCCCAGTAAACACTTCCCGAAGAGGACCTCACCTCTTCCTGAGGGCTAGGGGACCGGGGCTTTTCAGGGATCCAGGGGACGCTTCGCACAGGACGCCGCCCTCGCGAGTTTCTAGTTTGTTGCTCTTTTCCCTTTGGCACTTTGGGAATGTGTGGAAGTGGCCCTTTGACGTGAGACTTTGCTGCTCTTCAACTCCCCTGCCCAGCCACATGCCCGTCCCTCCTTGTATAACCTTAGCCACCTCCCTTGGGCTTTGGCGTGGTGTAATTTTCTTTCCCCGGCACAAAAGCAAGGACTCTATTTTGAAGAGATCCGCAGTTCATAAAGAAAAAAAAAATCGATTACAAGGCTTCATAGTTTCCATACTGCTTCTTTTCAAATAGTCCTGCTTAGGTGGATGATCTTGTTCTCTTTTGGTTTGCTGTTGTTTTCTAACGGCTGTGGAAGAAAAGCCAAGTCAAAATGATAGCCAGCGCAATACTAATTTTAAAAAGTCGATATCCCGATGAGCAGCCTGGGGGAGGTGCAGCAGAGGCCCATTGGAACCTGCACGCCAAGCTTAGAAGCCCCCTTACCGGTGCTGTTTATTGGAGGAATGATTACAACCATCAACGAGAAACCTTTCATCTTCTGTCAAAGCCTTTTTTTCTTTTTTTAACATCATCCAAAATTAAGTCACTTTTGCCCCATCTAAGAGAAGATTTTATCTATAAATTTCCTCTTCCAGTTTTAAGGTTTAAGAAGTCAGTCTACTCCACGTTACTTTTGGACCCCTCCCCTTATCCCAGCAGAGAAGCATTCCCATGGGGCATGTGTTCGGGTGAAGCTGCATTATCGTGCACCTGGTCTCTTGAACCGAAGCAGTGTAATAATCCTGGTACTTGAGAACTGCTGTAACTATTTTCCATGGGTCAATATTAAAAAAAAAAAAAAAATCAATGTGTTTATGTCAAGAGCTTAAAGAATCTTACTGAATTTAAATACTTGAGTGGTACTTTGAGGAAATTAACTTCCTGTCAGTTAAACTCATTTTTCATGCGAATGGACTGAAATGTAGTGTAGGTTGCCTTTTCTGAAACCTGGGACATCATGCTCAGTTCAGCCCCACTGCACATGAAGTAGATAGGTGGTGAAATGGATGCAGAGAAGGCATGGTTTGGGAAGAGATGGTTCTATCCGAGGACAGGGTGTGACTTACCTATTGATGGGCTCTCTGCCATCTGCACAGATGGGCATGTTGTGTGCCGCCAGGCGGCTATCTGCATCAGATACGCTTGCTGAGGTCACAATTCACTGACAGAAAAGTTGAAACAGCTGGCTGTCCTGAAATAGGAGATGTGCCATTGATCTACTGGATCCAGAGTGATTTGGCCAAAGTTAATCATTTCTTTCTGGACTTGAAAAATTGTTCATTAGGTATGTGAAGTTGCCTTAGAATAGAGGATCATCATAAATAATAAGAAACTCAAGTTACAGAATTTAATGTTTATGTAAGATTCTGTCAAGCCAAATGACACTTCATTTTGTGTTCCACATCTGCCCAGGCCTGCCCAAGTCGTATCCCTTCAGCTGCTTAGAACAGGAAGGGAAAGGACATTACCTTCTTTGGGTGTGGCTGAAGATTAGCATGGAGACTAAAATTCGTCAGAAGGCCTTTGGTGGCCCAGTGCAGTGGCTCACGCCTGTAATCCCAGCACTTTGGAAGGCCAAGGCAGGAGGATCACTTGAGCTCAGGAGTTCAAGACAATTCTGGGTAACATAGTGAGAGACCCTGTTTCAATTAAAAAATTAGAAGAAGAAGAAAAAGAATACCCTTGACTGGGCTGTAGGGAAAGCACCTATACTGTGGACTTCCGTGCGAGTGAGAGTGTCTGTGTGTGTGTGTGTGTGTGTGTGTGTGTGTGTGTCTTTTAGGAAGTCTGGTAGCATAGTAGGAGGGCTTTCCACCTGTACCCAAGGTCCTACTAAGACTCATTGAGTTGTGACTCATAAGGAAAATTGCCCTTTACATTTTCTGACTCATGAACACAGTGTACAGCTTGTAGTTCACCTTCTATCTTCCTCCTGAAGACTTACTTTGGGACACTTTTCTATCTTGGGAAAACTAAGAACTTTACCAGGAAATAGTTATTTCTGTCTTTTTCCTTAGGAGACTTGAAGAAGCTTAAAAAAAAAACAACCCTGCACATCTTTATAATTTAGTGTAGTTTGTTCAGCAGAGCACAAAAAAGATCTCTGTTGACTTTAATCTAATACACATCTAAGGCTTCCTTCGTAGAATTTGGGCTTACCATCATCTGCAAAGCAGATTCTGCTTTCGTGGCCATGACCAGTTTGTAGTCTCTAATAGACCGAAACCCATGGCTATAAACCTGCTACGTACTTCGGATCCAGAAATTGTGATTCATTTTAATGCAGAGTTTCTGTGCATTAAATATACAGCAATATTTGAGCAGATCTGAATTGACCATCACCTCAGAAACATGTTCAAGATCTGTCCCCTTTTCCTTACTTGCATATGCTTGTGAGTAAATTGTAGATAGGACACATAAAAATACCCAGGAGTAGACTTACAACCTAGAAATCTGATGGATAGCCGACGATAAGGTAGGTAAGTTCCTTTAGGTGATGACATAGCATGTATTTAGAAAGTCTGGAGTGCATTTCAAATGTTTTCTGGGAAGGTAACCCACTTCATTTCTACTGATTAGTTTATCAGATTGCTAGGCGTCTCCTAGCCAAAACAACACAATACAGCAAAACAAAACCGGAAAGAAATGGAATCAAGCACATAAAAAGTTTTGATGGAGGCAAAGGGTTAGGGAAATACCTGTAGTCCGGGACATTATCTAGGGACAAGTGTGGGTGGGACATCCTAGGGGGAAATATTTGACTGCCCAGCCATTTCCCTGGAGAGAAACCGAGTGGGGCAGTGGATGGAGAGGGATGGAGAATTGTAAGAAGCAGACATTTACTGAACTTGAAAGTCCCCTCCTCTACACTTTTGCTGAGGACTACAGCTTTGTCAGCGGTTGCAAACTCAAATGTCATAATTTGGTAGAGGGAGGCTGGCCTCTAGAGAGTAAATATGGAACACATACCCCATGCAAGGAGGCACCACTATTTGATCCTAGATCATGGTTACATTGACCATATTACCAAATTATTTTGTTTTTCAAGAGAAGCTGGAAATTTAGATTTTTATGCTATATCTGCCAGTTCTTATGTTTATTTATTTATTTTGAGACAGAGTTTCCCTCTTGTCGCTCAGGCTGGAGTGCAGTGACAAGATCTCGGCTCACTTCAACCTCTGCCTCCTAGGTTCAAGCAGTTCTCCTGCACAGCCTCCTGAGTAGCTGGGATTATAAGCACCCACCACCACGCCTGGCTGATTTTTGTATTTTTAGTAGAGATGGTGTTTTACCATGTCGGCCAGGTTGGTCTCAAACTCCTGACCTCAGGTGATCCACCCACCTTAGCCTCCCAAAGTCCTGGGATGATAGGCATGAACCACCATGCCTGGCTTCTGCCAATTTTTATATGTATTTGATCATCTCAAGGACCAAACACATCGGCAGGTTAGCTGTTTGCAGCCACTTTATTGTTAGTTTTAATGTGGTGTCCCTCTGTGAACCACAGTGCTTCTTCCCATTCAGTCACCAGCAAGAACGTCTGAACATTCACTACATACCCAGTAGTGGCATTTGATTTTTACTGATACATCCACACCTTCCTACCAGGTCTCCCTAAAGAGAGGGAGTTGCCTGGTATTTTCAGCGCTTGCAATCTCTAAGCTACTAAAACAGGGAAAATGTGCATCCAGCTGCTGCTATTTAGAGCTTTCTAAGCACCAGGGTAGGTTGGGTCCGCCAGTGGTGTGGCTGCAAATTGAGCTTTTCTCTTTCTTACCCTTCAGTCCCGTCCTCCACTGAAAATGCCATGGCCTTCAATGTCACATGATAGACTTTTTTTTTTCCCCCCACTCCTTTCTCAATTGAATCTCATGAATTTGAGGTCTGTTTCAGGAGTTATCCCTAGGGTTAATAATGAGCAGCGGGAGGATTCTGAATAACTTGGAATCCAACAGTTTGCTTCTGTGCCTAGTGTTGGCATGTCATGAGCTTCTGTGAGACTCAGTGAAAGATAACATATAGTGCCTTGCTTTTTCCTGATGAGATAGGTACGGAGCCTTATTATTTGTTAGGAATTTGAGAAAGCTTTTTATCTGCTTCAAAAAACAGACATATTTTAAATATTCCATGTAAGTGCAAGGTATTATAAGCTTGGTGGTAGGATATATAGACATTATGTACAGTCATGCTTTTCCAAGTTTGAGTCATCTACCCTTTTTTTTTTTTTTTTTTTTTTTGCAAAAATGCAGCCACTTGTATTTTTACTAATCCGTGATTAAAATGTTTGTTAACAGTGAGTTTTAAACTTTTTTTTCTCACCATGCTGAGACTTGATATTTACAGAATAAATAAGGGTTAAAGGTTAAATGCCAGAGGTATTAAAATAAACATCGCAGCCTTATAAGCACATTCTGTTATAGTGGTGAACAAATTGTGTTTTGAATTTCAGTTTCAGAATTTATGTTGGCAGAGACAAAAGGTTTTGGGGCATCCTAGCAAAGTT